TAAGTGTAAGCATGGTGCTTAGACTTAGGTTAATCGTGGATGCACCCTACATTCCAGATCGGTGGTAGATCGCGTGTATGACATCAGTACTATATAGCATCGTTGATCCTTTGTAGTCCACCTTCCGTCTGTAGGCGCACGTAGGACGTGGTTGCGAAGGAAAGCATCCTCTGCTGGTGTCTTTCCTTAAGTAATGTCCCCAGTTGAACAGTAGAAGACATAAGCTTACTCAAGTTAGAACTAGAGACCCTTAGTTATCCTCTCTATGCTCCTATTTATCCTAACCTTGTTGCTACTCCTAGTTAAATTAACCCTTAACCTAATCGTTACCCCTTGTTAAGTTAGACCGTAGTTAGTCTCACACGTTTTCCTATGGATACGATACTTGGAATACTTCCAGGTGAAAGCTACAGCGGTATCCGTGCGCTTGCAGATTTATCTATGTGCGTTAAAATATACCAACACCTGTCATCAACCCCGCGGCGATCACAACTCTGGTTGATAGGTACACCCATTATCAATACTAATCATTTATTTTCTAGTTCTTTTTTTAGGTCCTTGATGTCCTCCTAACAATAGTACTCGTTCATTGCTTATGTAGGTGGTGGCCGGAAACTCATAGTTTCCACCTACCTTGTGGAGAGATGACTGTTACGCTTGAGGATACTCAGAAGTTCCTTGGTGTGAGTGTTAGAGGCCGTCTAGCTATCGAGCACTGTAGGCCTGCCGGTTGGAGAGATAGAGTGGAGGCCTTCCTTGGGAGACCACTTCCTTTGGAGGCAACGGGTACCCGCACCACAGGGGTATCTATTAACTGGCTCAGGTAGAACTTTGCTCAATGTCCAGCAGGTGCAAACGAGGAGATAGTTACCTACTACTGTAGGGCTTGGATCCTGCACTTGTTTAGGTGTGTTCTCTTCCCTGACACGACGGGGGACACGCGTCTTGGATGTACCTCCCGTGCCTCACTGACTGGGACACCGTAGGGGTTACAGCTGGGCTTCCGGAGTGTTGACGGTCCTGTACGACCACCTCTGCGATGCGTGTTGTCGAACTTCGCAGATCGCGTCCATAGGTGGGTGTGTCTACCTTCTCTAGCTTTGGATGTGGTCTCGTCTACCAGTTGGTCGGCCCATAGTGCAACCTCCTCGTGATTGGTTCACAATGAACAACCCTCGACACCGACCGACAGTTGCTCAACTTTGGGACCAGGTCAAAGTCCCCTTCAGCAGGATTGCACGTTCCTACGTCCAGTACGCCAACGAGCTCGACACACTTAGGCCATCAATGGTGAGTTAAATGCATTTGTTATTGTCTACTACGTATCTAGGATAACTATTCTAACTTAGACCCTCAGTGCCTTACTTTTGCAGGTTACTTGGGAGCCCTACAAGGACATAGAGGTGGTGCAGCTTGGAGTAAGCACCACGTGCAGTGCGGACGAAGACCTGTACAAGACCCTCAATGCCTTACTTTTGCAGGTTACTTGGGAGCCCTACGAGGACATAGAGGCGGTGCAGCTTGGAGTAAGCACCACGTGCAGCGCGGACGAAGACCTGTACAAGATGAGGTGCCCGCTGATCTGCTTCTACGCTGTTGAGTATCACCTTCCACATAGAGTTGTACGCCAGTTTGGCTTGAGTCAGGAGTGGCCAGTCGAGCCATTGTCGACGTCCGTGGAGTTGCACAAGTAAGTGACATTTCATGGCATTTACATAACTATTTTATATATTAGTTTCGTTTAAGACCAAATGCTTTATTGATGCCATAACTAATTACAGCTGTTGTAGCCTGCACAAGATATAACTCCAGTTGCATAAATCTCACCTTTGATTTTACTTTGTACATTTTCACTTTGATGTGAGGCCATGAAAACTCAACAAGATGTGCATCAGTATATTTTAGGGATCCATTTTCACTTTGATGTGAGGCCATGATATCTACATTTACTCTGTACATTCTAGTGAAACTGTGTCTGTCCTTTCATTGTGAATATATCAACTGCCTCCAGAAATAAATGTATCCAGTCGTTTAAGATTACAATGACATATCTAGCTTAGTTTTCAGATAAATTCAGATTTAGACTCACATAAATAGTTCATCTAGTTCTGTAGTATATTATTAAATTACTAATTGATTCATACAAATGTAAGTGTCAGGAGATGATATTTTTTCCTAAAATTGTATATCACAAGCAATGAACACTTTCTGGATTGATCGTCAGAAACAGAAGAAGACGGTTGAGTTTGAGACGCTACACCGTGAGCACATGGAAGTGTGGGATCAGCTTCATGACAACCTGTACGAAAACGACCAGCCACACACCAACTACAACTTCCGCACATACCTATCTTGGTACCGTGGCGTCACACGGACAAGGTTGAAAACTCAGTGGACCCAAGCCGACTACACCGACCTTGACTCTTCAGATGGTGAAGACATGTCCTACGACCTTGCGACGCGACAAGGGACACTTATGGAGGCAGCACCTGTCTTAGACCGAGTGGTAAATGATCTTTAAACTTTTCTGTACTACAATCACTATAATAACCATAAACAACAAATAGCGATATAATATTTGTTTTATTTTGCAGGGCAACGCGCTGAAGCAATCAGTGCTTGACATCGAACGGTTTCCAAGGACAGACGTGGACGAGCACACACTCAACAACTTTCTAGGAGTAAGTTGACGCCAACACAGTCACAATATTAGTATGTGGAGTGTTTTTACCTTGCTTACTAATTGCATCTTTGCATGACAGAGGCTAGCACATAGGGTGTGGTGTGTTAGGTTTAGTCCCGGACCTCTGTACAAATGTTCTCACATGCCATCACATGTGTTGTGCGTGTCAAATTATGTAATGCACTACTCCGTTAGGTTTTATTTGCAGTACGTGAACTCGTTTCACTAGCTCCGGAATATTAACATGAATATTATAACCAGAAATAATGAAAACGACAACACAGTGAAAAGTCCAATACTAGGGCACAGTGAACAACACAATAATATTAGAAGTACATGCCGACAAACGAAATAACACAGTACATGACCTAAGTACGTCCATACTTAAAGTGCATTACATGACAACACAATGAAAAGTCCAAGACTAAACAACATTGTTTATGAATAAACCATAAAACTAGCAAGTCATGGAGACTACTGAATGCAACGAGGCCACTTTTCCTTCCTTAGGGCATCGGGATTCTCGTCCATCGCTTCTTTTGCTCGGCACGCACGCTCAAGCTTCTTCTCCCTCTCCTCCCTGTACGCATCAACACGCCTCCTTTCCTCCTCTTCCTTGTGCTCCTTTTCTGCAGCCTCCTCTCTGCGTCTCTTCTCCATCATCTCCTTATCCTCTGCCTTTCACTTCAACAGTTTCTACATCCACTCCTTGTCTTCCTGCTTGATCTCAGTGTCGATCCACTGCTCGAAATCACGGAGCAGTGGAGGGGTCTGCAATACATTCAAATGTTACACACCAAATAAACTATGCATGACTTCGTATGACACAAAATAAATATTACACAACTTCAATTTCTCACCATCTTGTTAATGCGGCGCTGACGAAGTGTAGGCTCAAATACAAAATTGGCACACATCCAATATCTCTACCTATACGTGTCCTCTTCATCGGACTTGGCTACCTTGCAACGATCACCGCAAAAGCACATGGGCACTAGAACACCACTAGGTAGAGACAAAGGGTCGAAGGCATTTCCGGTCATCCGGGCATAACTGCAATTGAACCAATTTTGTTCTAATTACCGAAATGAATGAATATTAAAACCTAAACCCGTAATACAGCAAGATGGACAGAGGTTACCTTGGTTTACTAGATTTACCACACCTTGACATCATACGGTTGCATAAAAATTAATAATTACTTAAAACCCTATGTAATGACATGCCTAGGGTTACAAAATAGACTTAATATACACCAAATCAATGCGTACAAAATGGGGAGGGGAGACATGATACCTTGCTCTAGAAGATCTATGGATCAAATCGAAGTTTTCAATGTGCAATTAGTCGATTCAAGAGATTGGATGGGTTGGGGAGAGGAAGAGGAGGAGTAACAAATGGAAGAAGCCTCGGATAGAGAGAGAGGTGGCCGTGGGTTTTGAATCCAGGCTCGGCGCCATGATGTGTGGCGCCGAGCTCAGCGCCGTGATCTGTGGCGCTGGTGCCACGTAAGCGTGAGATCAGCGTACACACAAAATAGGTCCATGCACCTCGGCGTCGAGACGTGTTACCTCGACGCCGCGAATCACGACGTTAACCGCCTAGGTCCATAGTTGAGTTTACGTCGCACAGGGGTCTAAACGTGAATTTTCTTAAAAAAAGGGTCAAATTGAAAAAAAAAATGGGCTCCAACTCCTTGATTACTACAGTACAAGGTAAAATAGAGTTTTTTTAGTTCTTATTTATACCTTATATGCAAAGGATCCGGTTTACTTAAGAACGACGTAAAACACTACCAATGAAAACAAGCCGACGTAATCACGTAAAGCTCCGGCCAAGAGTATATTTAAGGGTGATGCTACTCTTTGCTTGTTATTATGACATGTTTGATAGGGCTCTTTCCTAACTCCGGCATCTTCGGAGGAGCCATACCAAACTTTTTGTTGGATGAGCCGTTTTTTTTTAGTGAAAAACAGAAGAACCGGAATCGTTTTAGAGGAGACACGCTATTTTGGAGGAGTGGCTTCTCCAAAACGGCTCCTCCGAAAGGAGCCGCTCAGGAGGTGCGGTCCAATTTTTCGCCCTCTTGCCAATTTCATCTTGATAGCGCCACTGCAGCATGCTCCCCCAGCCCCCGCTATAGATTTGAATTTCAGGGGACTTTCAACCATTGCTGGAATTCTAAAGCGCGTGGGTACGGTATAAGTTTGAATTTTCTGGGAGATTTTAGCCCTTGTTGGAATACTTGAAACACGTGGCTACTGTATGCCTCTGCAACTCCGATCCTGCGACTAGTTGGTTGGGAGTGTGAGCTAAAATGGTACTACGGTCCATGATCGCAGGCGGCCTTGCTCTCCTCCACTTGCTCCTCGTGCTCCTGTCCGCCTCCGCCTCCGCCTCCGAGCTGCCACCGGCGGCGGCCGCCGTGCGAGTCGGCGTGGTGCTAGACCTGACGAGCGAGGCGGGGAGGAAGAGCCTCACCTGCATCTCCATGGCATTAGACAACTTCTATTCTGCCCATGCCAACTCCAGCCGGCGGGTGCACCTGCTCGTGGGGGACACGCGTGGAGATGTCGCCGCAGCACACGCTGGTAAGGCCGGCTTTATCTTCTTCTTTTTTAACGCTAAAAATGGCAGGAGGGAAACCAGACCTGCATGGAAAACCGACACAAACCCAAATACAGCAGTACAGAAGATAATTACACATAAATACACATAAAGGTAACACACACCCGACGAAGATAAAACACACCTAACGCCCACCCATGTCTGCTGTCTTGGAATTAAGCATTTCAGTAACAAAGCAAATCAAATTGCAAAAAGCCTAATTTGAATACAGGTACTTTGATTTGAAAAATGAGCCAGAAATTTTTGGGTCTGATTGGTTGGCTTCCAAATTATGCCAAGCCAAATATTTGGCAAGCTATTTTGACTATTATTTGGTTTGTTACCAAAACTTGCTAGTCTCTCATATTTGACTTGTTAAATCTATGTTAAATTTTTTTACCTAACTTTGGCTTGGCAAAATTTAGTCGCAGACCAAGCAGGCCCTTTGATTCAGCTCATTCTCGTTTTGCTCGTTGCAATTTGTAACAAGATCCGGTACTATCCTAGCATCAAAACCTACTATTGCCATACATCAGGCGCTTAACTCCACAACTAAGGGTTTGTTTGGTTCCTAGCCAAACTGCGCCATGCAATGTGTGGCAGCGCCACACTTGGTGGCAGTAGAATTGGGTGCCACACCGTGGCAAAAATATGACATGTAAAAGCTATGACTACCTAATTTTAATCAATAACCAGACAACAGTGTGGCAGCCTTAGTTGTGGCTTGGCGTCCCATAGCTGGAAACCAAATCATCCCTAAGATAATAATGTAGCCAGAACCAGAGAAAACATTTTTGCTCTCCGTAGTTCTTTCTAGACTTATAGGACTTGGAGCCGTTTTAGGCCTTATTTGGATGTAGTCGGATTCGCATCAATCTACATGTGCTGGGGTGGATTGAGGTAAATCCAAATAAGGCCTTAGTGTTACCGTACTCAGTAGATTCAACAGTACTCAACAATGCACTAGAGCCGGAGTCGAAGTAGGAGCCAGCAGAAATCTGACCAAAACATGGCCTTAGCAGAACTGAAGCCCAATTATACAAGATAGACTTTGGTAAGCAAATGTTAGAGTTGATCACCAATTACCCGTGTTTGGCTCGTCTTAGCTCGAATCACAAACAAGTTAACCTTATAAGGCTTAGATGATTCTAAGGCTGACCTCAACTCTTTTAACTAGCGGAGCCCAAGCTTAAGGCGACAAGCTTACTAAAACTCGTCTTGTTAAGGCTGAGGCTCTATTGGGCTTTGACTGTCTCTTTCTCCTCTTCTGGACCAGTAAAAGGCATCATCATCGTCGTCGTCGTCATCAAATCCTCTAAATTAAAATCGTCTGTGTTCTCGTACAAATTTTTAGACAGAGAAGTTCATTTCTATCGAAGACAAACAAAGTTTAATACTTCTTATGTCTTGTTTGGATGTAAAGTATTTTGGTTTTTTTTAATACCATGGTTTTGAGACCTATAAGGTATTTGGATGTAAAGGTCTTCGTAGTTTTGAAAACCATGGTATTACTAAAAACTGTAGTCTTTTAGATTTTTAAAAGATTGACTTTATATCTCTTTTTTCTAAACTATAGTTTTTCACATCTCCTCTCCTAAAACTAGTTTTTTATACTACATTTTCTTCAAAAAAAAACCATAACATCCAAATAGACCCAGTTTCCCCCCTTCAAATCCCTGACTCATTGGAGCGATCATCTCGTCTTCAACCATTAGTTTGATGCCATTCCATGTCTTTGAAAAATATTTTCATAGAAAAGTTATGCAGAATTTCTAAAATCTAGTTTAAATCTTAAAAAATCATAAAATTTTGGTTTTAGCTCGGACAAGTACCTGTTTCAGTATTTTCACCTAATTTCAAGATTCTTAATTGCATTTTTTTCAAAATTAAATAATATTTAGATTTTGTTAAAGTATTTATTTTTTTAATAAAGTTTGTTTGAGCTCTGCTGATGACGTTGTGCCATCCTAAAACAACCGTCTAAACCTTATAGTGTAAAAAACAAATGTTTTTAAAACGGAAGGGCTAGCGCCCGTCGTCCGGCCGCAAGAGGTGTCCAAACGCTGCTATCCATTCGGACGCAATGCGCCCATCGCACCCACGTAACAGGTCCGTAACATATAGGAGTGCGGCCACCTCACCCTGCCTATGGATGCGCATCGCGGAGGCGTCCGCCGGCCTCAAGCGCCCACAAGTGTCGCCCTAGCAGCAGTAGCAGGCGGCTGCGGCAGGCCGTTGTCCCCCAGCCACTGGGGCTGTTGCAACATGTGCTCCCTCATATCTACTTTTGAAACATCAGTTGTAACACTTGCAACATACGACTGAAAATAGACGAAACACTTGAAACATACATTTGAAACATGCGTGTATAGCCATAGCAATATATGCAACATTCAGAATTACTTTTATAACATCTAGATGAAACACTTGCAACATACATATGTGTTTACACCAAAATTTAGAAGAAGAACGCGGGAACTCGCAGGCTTCCAAGATTGTGTCAATCAAGGAATCGATTGCATAAGGATCGATATCGGTCGGTGTGGATGTGACATCGAATCGGTGTCTTTGAATGACGCCGCCAGATAACGATGATGAGCTACGATTGACGCCGGGAGGATACATATCGGACTCTACAAAAGAGGAAAGATTAGGGTCCAAGTTATCTTAAGATAGGAATATTTTCTTCATGCCAAGATTGTACCGAGTCGTACTTGAGTAGGATTCGTGTTTAGGCGTCGGGTATAAATATTGAACCACAGCTATTGTAAACACACAATCAATCAAATACAAGTTACTTACTTTTTTCGCTCTCGCCACCCCTTAGGAGTAGGAGTAGAGTAGATCTCGGCGAGTTCTTCAATGAAAGGTACTCGCATCGGTCAGGTGACCTCCGACTTGTCTATAAGTTCCGTCATGGCTTATACTTCTATTCGTATGGCTACATCGATCCGGTTAGACCTCCACTGCGACTGACTGGTATAAACTAGTTATCGATTCTTGTCTAGTTCAAGTAAAATCAGACGATCCGATCGACCTCCCACCGCTCGAACTAGATTAAGATCAAGTTATCGACTCTATCTAAGGATGACAAACTTGAATAGATTCATTAAGTTACCGATATTGCTTATTGCTTTTATTATTTATTTAATTATAGCAATATCACTTTGCCCGATTGGGATTGATCTAGATCGGCCTCATATCATGTTTAACCCATTGTTTATTGATTTAAATTGATCTAATCTGCACCTTAAGCGATGAGTTATGTTTTATCTACTGTTTTATGTCAATCCTGATCGTGCATAGCGTGCGGTTAAAGCATGCCTGGTCTTGAATAGATCTATCGGCTAACGAGAACCGTTCCACGGCCCGTTATCACGGTCTGTGTGATTCTGCCTCACACCCCACTGTTAGCACCGTGGAGTGGGGATCGTTATTTGATAGATCTGCTCCTGATAGGGCATGACTTTAATCGTAATGTTATGTCCTGAATCATTTGTTTTAGCCGATATCGAGTGCTTTCACATACAGTTCACGTTATGAGATCGTTGAAGTAAAGATAGGTTAAAAGATATGTTAGCCCCACGATCTTATTATTATATTATGGTGTGCATGATTCTGCCTCATGCCCCACTGATATTAGTAATAAGTTAGGGTCGTCAAATCTATTGTTGTTTCTACGACATGTATGATTCCGCCTCATGCCCCACTGGTCATAGCGATAGATGAAATCTAATATGTTCATTAGATTTATCTTTATTAAATGGTTAAATGATGATGAACTGTTTTTTTATATAAAAAGGAATTCGGTTGCTTGTAGTCATTGGCTTAATATAGACTGATTAATGTTGATATCCTTTTACCATTGACTAATACTTGTCCAAATAATAATATTCACCCTGAATGATAATCGATTTTTCTTCCATAATTCTATGAGTTTCAATTGATTTATTCTTATGAGTATGCTGGAATCGGCTATTTAGTCGATCTCCTTCCAAATCGGCTCTCAGAGCCGCACATTTGGGACTGTCTGGCAACACCGGCATGTTCCGCCCTAAATTACTGATTAGCTTTCTTTCCTTGTCAATTGCAGGGTCAAATTGACTACAAATATTTATGTGTTGGTCACTTTCTGCACCGACAGTTGACGCCGTCCGTGGGAGGACGCTGTATGTTCACACTTTTGATCATCGGATAGCCCACTTTTTCGCCATCTTCGCCATGGCGGGCTCAAGCGATACGGCTCGCTTCGGCTCGCTGGAGTTTTATGCACTCCCACCTATTGGGATGTGGGTTTCACCCGTCCTCGAGCCGTCCCAGACCTTCCTCTTTGGAAGCCTAGACTTCGTCGCCGATCGGCTCGACGTACTACACCTTTGCGAGGAGGCACTTGTTCCGGTGTCCGTCGGGGGGGCGCCCTCCATCGGCTCTGGGACACCTGACGACTTTAACGACGAGGCGCCTGCGCTTCATTCCGAGCAAACGCTCTGCTCAAACCCCGCTGTGAGTAATGCACATGCTGTTATTTACTCGCTATTTACTATCTTCCACCGATTATCCGGAGGGACCGCATTGTCCACACCACAACCACCGTACGATCGGTTCCCCTACGGCCTCGTGTCCCCCGCAGATGCGTACGCTTGGGGCTCCAAAAGATGCTGACGCCGCCTCCCCTCACATCTGAATTCTAGGGGATGGCGAGCTACGCTCCCACCTGTTTCTATGCACTCGTAGATGACGAGGTTGAGAGTGACGACTCCAGCATCGACGACGTGGCACCTAGCCACCGTCCGTCCCGGGAGTGCGCAATGACGGACGCCCTAGGACAGCCACCGGTGGAAACAGAATCCTTACAGACTCACCCCCTCCAGATCCTCGCATGGGGGCCCTCGCGCTGGCCCGAGAGCACGGCAAGGAGCCATGACATCGGCGGCAGAACCAGCCGCCACCTGCGCCGGCGTACTCGGCGTGGCACGTCGCGCCACGCACGCGTAATTCGGCGAGCGGCGCCCGCCAGGTCTAGCTCAACATCATGAACAAAGGGAACGATCCCCCACAGTTCGCTCGGGCTGGCCAGAACATCACCGTTGTGGCGATGCTTTTGCGCGGCGT